TATGTGTAATAGAAGGTGGTAGATATAAGGCTGAAAGTAATGGATAATATAGTGAGTCAGTAGGTGGGTACGTGTAATAGATGGTGGTAGATATAAGGCTTAAAGTAATGTATAATATAGTGAGTCAGTAGGTTGGTACGTGTAATAGATGGTGGTAGATATAAGGCTTAAAGTAATGTATAATATAGTGAGTCAGTAGGTGGATACGTGTAATAGATGGTGGGGGAAGGGGGAAATGTAAAGACAAATGACTGTCGAGCCCATTCTATTAAGTCTTATGTACATACATAAATTCACAGGAGAGTGATTTTACTCGTGAAAGGAACGTTAAAAAAACAACACATTTTGAAACGAAACTAGTAGTTGTGTAACCGTTCATTAAACCCTATAACTGTTTGGTTTAGTTAAGCAAACAGTCACTTACCCTGTAATTATTCTCCTGTAGCAATGCAGAAACTGTCTTGTTTAACTGGATGTAGAGCTTATGAAAGTCATCAGTTAAATAACCATGGTGAAAAACTGTTGGAGATTTCACAAAATAAAGCTGAGGACTTGGAAGTGAAGCCTTAAAACGTTTGATCTTTTGTTTCTCTTTGATATTGGTGATTCTCGCCCTAGACAAAATTATCGAACTTTATGGAGTTATGAAAAGTAGTTGCTACAAGATAACAAAAACTATTATGAATGTAACAGCAACTTCTAACAAAATCTAAACTTTACCATGTATTTTCTTCAATATATTCACGTACCTTACAAATTTCAGGAAGTTTCTAGCATTATTGAAACATCCATCTAGCATCAGTTTCATGGTTGCTTCCAAATACAGATATAATTCTGTAACTAAAACAATATGTTTATGTAAATGATTCTTGTCCTTGTAGATAAACAAGATCAATCTGTACAATAAAGATACCAAACTAAAAAAAAGTACCTTATCACAGCTGCTGCTAATGTTAACAGGAAAGTGTACACAGGCTTGAAACAGTTTAGTCATTTTTAAGCTAATTAGAGAAAGTGATGCCTATAAAACTCGCAATACAATGTAGTAGTTTATAAAAAGTAAGTAAAATAAAAGCAATGAATATTGTTATCATGGAATTTTAAACGTTCAATTAGAAACTAAATCGCACAGCCTTCTCACACATGAGGGTAACTAAAACATTAACAGACCATTTAGTTGCTGTGTTTTTGCCAAGAAATCAACATCTTTCTTCATCAAAAACCACTCGGAAGGTTGCGAGAGCCACCTGACACTCACCGGCTGCCCTTTCCACAAACTAGCATACTTTGCGGTGCTCTTCATGGCCTGGAATCCATATTTCCTGGTGGGTAAGATCACGGTGGCTTCTAAGTGAAGATTTGTGTTCTTTAACATACACACACTCGACTGGATAACTACAGTAAGATGAATCATTTTATTTACTTTGAAACAAGACCCTTTCTCATACAATAACAGGTTTTTCAAATAAATGTGATTTCATGTATTACATTTGTAGTAAGGATGAAACTTACTCAAACTGTGATTTTAATAATAATAACTTTAAAATGAAGTGTAATGACTTGTTTGGCATTGGCCATAAATTTTGTATCCCTACGTCAACAGTATGTGTTTCTGTTGATCACCTAACAAGACAAGGACCATTCCCAGCCTTGGTAGCTGTTCTGTATACGTCAACAATACGTATTTCTGTTGATCACCTAACAAGACAGGGACTATTCCCAGCCTCGGTAGCTATTCTATATAAGTCAACAGTACGTATTTCTGTTGATCACCTAACAAGACAGGGACTATTCCCAGCCTCTGTAGCTATTCTATATACGTCAACAGTACGTGTTTCTGTTGATCACCTAACAAGACAGGGACTATTCCCAGCCTTGGTAGCTATTCTATATAAGTCAACAGTACATGTTTCTGTTGATCACCTAACAAGACAGGGACTATTCCTAGCCTCTGTAGCTATTCTATAATAAAGAAACAATCAACATTTCATTTAATATCTGTCTTTTTTTTCAACTGGTCAGTTGAGAATAAACTAAATCTGACATGTTGTTAAGTAATGTGCTGTTTTATGGACTAACTCCTGTGAAAGATAACATTATACTGAAATCGTAACATATTGGTGTTAATTAAATTAACAGATTTTGTGTAAACTATTTAATCCTAATCTCGTAAGTTAATGCAGCAATAGATTTTCCAAATATTTAGTTATTGTTTGATAGATACACAAACAGAGTCATATGTGGCTTAAAAGAACTATAAACTTCATCCTGAATTATATAGCTTACCACTAAAGTCATTAAATGTCACTATCAGGATGACGTCGGGGGAACTTTCTACGTTAAACCTCCATTGAATTTCATAGGTGTTCCTGAAGTGATGTAGAAAAAAATTACGTTTTTATTTTATTCTTTCAGTAATAGTTTATCAGGTACGTATTCAGTAGCTAAGTACACTAAACATTTCTGTAATAATTAACAACATCAAGAAATCAACTACCCTGATGTTAAATGAAAACTGGAAAGAGCTAAAACGAGGCTGCAGAGAGAGACAAAAACTAGTTTTAGAGTTCAGATACAGCCGTCACAGATCTTGGAAATGTCTGTATCAACTACATTTATGCTTCTTTCTAGTTTCTCATTTTGTTTGCTTGTTAAACACAATGGGCTATTCGTGCTATTCCCACTACTGGAATCATACACTGAATTTTAGCACCATAAGCCCTCAAGCTTACTGCTGAGCCTTCTAGGGGATGTTCCTTTCTACAGTCCTATATTATATAGTTAGTTTTCTTGCAATGTTTTTAGGAGACTTCTTAACATTATACGTACTGAGAATACACCATTTCTCAAAGTTTTTATTGTATCTTAAAATAATATTTCTGATAACGTGTAATATCAGATAATTATATAACCAAACACACTTTACAAAAACAAGTTTAAAACAAGGCAATATTACAGTAAAACTAAGAGAAACACAAGCTACGTAAATATATATAGGGCTTTAGACATGAACAACTTACGTCTTAAACCATACCCTCGGGATAAACTTGAGCGTCTGTCCCCAGCCCGCACAGCCCCTGTTGTCCTCCCCCGGGTTAACAGACAGTGCCCACCAACACCAGGAGTGATTTTGGAGCATTGTGAGAGCCAATTCAGATACATTTTTCTATAAGATAAGACTTCGTAAATCAAAATCATTGAGAAAATAAACAGTATCAAAACAAGTCCTAAGTTAAATAAGGAAAGAAATGAATTATTAAGCTGGAATAAAACTCGCATGTAGAATTAATTACAGGATTGTATCTTTTGGTTATTATGATTCTTACAGCAACATGCAATTAACTTATTAATAAACAAAAGGGTTAAATAGGTGCAGAATGCCCTTGAGGATTCAAGCCATTATTATTCCGGGATCACGAAAGGGATTTCAGAATCCAAATAACAGAATAAAGAATAACTTGTGATTGTAACTGTCTGTGATCCTTAGCGCAACATACGCTTAACTTATTAACCCTTTCCCACACGGGTCAAAGGTCATGTTATCGCGTTTGTTGACTCGCATTCAAAATTTTATGAATTTATGTCAATAAGTTTGGTATCAAACTGTAGATTATAATTCAAATTTTAGTACTATACATTATTTAATTTTTTAATTTTTAAAGTAAGTATTAGAAAAACATTGAATTTTGTGTGTCACGTGGTAAGTTCAATGCAGCAGTTCAAATTAGATATTTGTGAAGTCAAAATACTAAGTCTATAGTTTCATTTGAATTAGGAACTCAAATTACCGATATTGACAAGCTAGAATATAAAATAAGAACATCTTATCTTTTCCATTTGCTAAGATATCACTCATGTACTGAATCAAACATAGTAGCCCCCACCGACCTCTTTCTGTTATTGGAAACACTCCCTTATATACACTTACTTCTATATATGACATGTGAATAACCAATTGAAAGCTCAGAATATCCCCCTAGTGGCTTTCTCTGCCATTTTCAAGTATTATGATATCATCTCATTCATTCAAAACAAAATTTCAAGGAGGTAGGTTGAGTCTTTAGTCAGCTTAAAAATTTCATACTTTTTTAGACTTAAATACAGCTTAATTACTAAGCTTGATAAACAATAGTGTATTCTATGGTATTAATTTATTATTTTTTTAGACTTAAATACAGCTTAATTACTAAGCTTGATAAACAATAGTGTATTCTATGGTATTAATTTAATATTTTTTTAGACTTAAATACAGCTTAATTACTAAGCTTGATAAACAATAGTGTATTCTATGGTATTAATTTAATACTTTTTTAGACTTAAATACAGCTTAGTTACTAAGCTTGATAAACAATAGTGTATTCTATGGTATTAATTTATTATTTTTTTAGACTTAAATACAGCTTAGTTACTAAGCTTGATAAACAATAGTGTATTCTATGGTATTAATTTAATATTTTTTAGACTTAAATACAGCTTAGTTACTAAGCTTGATAAACAATAGTGTATTCTATGGTATTAATTTATTATTTCAGATGTATAGACAGGTCACTTCGTAAAGACTAAAGGCCAGTTTTATATTATTGGATACAGAAACATGAAAGCATGTGTGCCATATCATTATAACTTCTGTACTGTTAGGCAAACATGGCTGAAAGGTCAACATAATAAATATATATATAGATGTATAATGTTATGAGATTTAAGCTATATAGTCTAAACATTTATGTTTTCGTGTTATAATTTGTGTTCATTATAGAATGAAAGAGGTATAATTTATATTTATTTCTCAATTTTTTATGGTGGTTACAAGATCGGTCAAATCTACCAAACCCATACAGAGTAACGTTAGTGAAAATAACAGATAAAATATAAAGTTTTTTCTCAAGAAATATTTGATAACAATCTGGACATTATAATGATCTCGCATGTCAAATTTCAAAATTTTCTGATGCATAAAAGTATTTTTAATTTTAAAATCAATATTACTTTGCATGTTAGATAGGCAAGATGTGAAAAAAGAAAAAAAGGTAATGAGAGAAACATTGCTTTACAAACCTTAAGACTTAAAAAAAATCTGTTATTTTGTGTACAAAAGCCTTATGTTTACTGATAATCTGTCAAATTTCATTAACCTCCGCTTACTAATTTAAAAG